CTGGGGCAAAACCTATATATAGTTGTGATCGTAAAAGGCACACCCGTAGATTATAACTTGTAGTGATGCCACTCTGATAATTATTGATGACTGCTGCACTGGATGGTGCGGTGCAGTGGTCTGGCTCATTAATTGGCTGGTGCAGCCTTTTCAGGGTTCAGAGGTCACATATTTGCTGGTTTCCTTTATCAGACTTCCTGTTTTTTCATATTACATAGTAATGTTTTTATCTTAAAGTGATTAAGACAATGAACTAATTTTGTGTGTGAACACGGAGAGGACTCTCAGTTGAAAGTCCCACCCCACGTGATGCCATGTTGAGTGTGGTGCTGGAGACGGACAATGTGTTGTACATGATAATAAAAGACCCGGAGGAAGCCTTCGCTACTGAATGCTACGATGAGGTGAGTTGAGAGTAATATTGTGTTGTACCACTTAAAATTGTTGCAGCTCATGCATTACATGCTGCTGTAATTAATTTTGTATATTTAACAGCTGAGAGAAGTGCATAATGCCTTAATTTTGCAATTCATGTAAGTCAGACAACTCATGTTGGGAATATATTACCTCAAATTTATAATGGTCCTGCTACTGGCCTAAACCTTAACTGTGATATACAGTTATCTTTTGCACACTCCTTGTGGAACACTTTATAACCGGTGATTTCTCATTGAAGTAAAGTATTCTTAACATGTTTAATAAATGTTTTATTGGATTTATGAAAATTATTTATGTTCACTGTTATTGTCAAAATATTAAAGATATTTTGTATCAGGGAATTCCACCCACGAATTCCGTTCAAGACTTAATGAAATGTAAAAATTGCCAAAAATACTAACCCATCTCACGACCAGGATATTTTGTACAGTATATACAGTATTACAAAACAGTTTGAAATAAATTGTCATGAGCATTAAACTTGACATTATTACTTAACATTATACAACCGCAAAGGTCACACTATATAGTATTATACAGTCGGTAATTTGAAGCAAGTGGTATTTCATTTACCAGTTGTGTATTTTGAGGGATTATATTTCTGGTTTCATAACATTGAGCCTTCATCTAAATTGAGGTCTTCAAAATTTCATAATTATAAAAATCGAGAATAGATGTGATTTTGACATCTACTCTCAACACGTGTTACCATGCAGGTGCATGTCTGTATAGCACGTGTATATGCGAGCCAGCATGTGTTATGTGCATGAGTCATAACGGGGGTAAAGGAGATGGGGTAACTCAGGTGTGGATGAGCACTTATTTCGTTTCTCCAAACCGTTCCCTGAAACTCACAAATACTCGTGTACAAAGGTAATGCAAGGTGAAGGCCCTGTAATGGTGATTATTTTGTGGAGTGAAAAAAATCGTTGAACATTTTGTGTAATGTGTCTCAGGTAAACAGGACTGAAAAGTGGTGTCTGAAATTTAGTGGATTTTGGAATGGGTGGTTGTACATGACATACTGTTATACTGTCATATACTGTGTGACCTCAGACTTGTGAAAATGGGACACACACACACACACACACACACATTGTTACTCTAGAATCTAGATGCTTTATTAAAAATAACCGTTGCGCAAAAAAAACACAGAATATGTAGCCTATTGTTTCATAGCCCTGTATATCTTCTTGAATACACCGCCGTGATGAGGTGATAGCGTTTTAATTACTTTGTTATGAGGAAGTTTCTTTGTACCTCGTTATTGTCTTCGTCACGCTTCCTTTTCCCAAGAACCTCACTTCATGTCACTCCTTCCCGTCCTCTCTCCACATCTTTTCATCTCCTTTTGTGTACTTTTCTTTTTATCTTCACTGAGCTCTTTATATCCATGTCCTTTCGATGTAACTTCCATTTTAGTGTATGTAATTTCCATACGCTCAGGCTGTGACTGTGAGTACTCGTAGATTACTAGGCCAGCCCGCCCCCATGTTGTCCGTCACCATGACAACGAGCACCAACACCAACTCGACGTATCGTTCAGGGTTTGTACCAGGTTGGGATATGTTATGGTCACTGTTTCTTACACTTCTTTGGAGTGGGGAAGTAAGATGAAAACTTAGAACTGTGCTTAGTACTGCAACTCAATAGACAAGAACAAGGTGTTAAGTGTCTTCCAGTTATAAGAATATATAATAAGATGAATTCTCCGGATCTAGAAAATATGTTTGAGGAAAAGGCCAGACTGATTGTTATTAATAGAAAGGTAAGAAATCTACGAACTTAAATGAAGTTGGATATTTAACACTGAAAAATTGCACTCGTAATGTTCATTGTATGCCTTTGTGATGTGCGCCATCTGGACAATTATGAAAGTCTAGTTGTGCTGTTGATGGTGTTCTTCCTATTTCGTGTTAGTTTTTGTGTGATCCCACATAGTTTTCATCCACACTACAAATTGAGCGACTACAGGCACGAGACTAAATAGCCGAGGTGTTATTCCACCTCACGTGCAGTATCTTGCGGCTAAACACATTTCGAATAAGGAATGTTATGGTTTAAAGTTTTGTACTACTTTAATAACATCGTATAATTGGCGTAATATACTGCCTATACCATATTAACCCATTGAGTGGTAGGGGTTGTGCCGTTTGCCAGAATAAAATACCAAAGCACGACACTAATTCACAAACTTCAAAGGGTTTATGATTTGTTTTAAATCCGTGGCAATTTTTTGTAGCCCCAGTTAAATATTTAAAAAAAGGCACATTCATATAAATTTGTAGGCAACGTTTGCAGCGTTGCCAACGGAACCCAATACCCAAGGTAGACCGTTCCATCAACAGCGCAAATTAATTTGATGTCTACGGGCACAGGACTGCATAAAAGTTTTATCTTCTGTCCAGCAGTCATTTGTCCCTGGCTAACGGTTTCCTCATACTTAACCTTACCGATTCCTAGATACATACGCATATATTTTATTACAAATAAAAAAAATAGACATTTCTGCATTACTGTTAATACTTTAGGTCAGGCATGGGCAATCTTTCCTCAGTCATGGGCCGCATTACGATTTAGGTTATTTTTCTGTGGGCTAACCCACCAAAATTTATATACTACCTAACCCAAAAGTAATGTTAATATTATATGAGCACAGACGGTGAAACAGTTTATTGTCGCGTTCACCTTACGATATTTTCAGTTTACGATCACAATCTTTTCCCCATTTACTAAAGAAATCCATCTTAATATTTTTTTTAAGTAAAATGTAAATGTTTCTTGGCATTTAACAGAAAAAGATTGAAGCAGTCTGTGAATACTTAGATTTTTCCTACAATTAAAGCATTCTTCTTATGAGACACACCTGTGGGGTATGGGATGGAGAAAGGAAACTCACAATGTGCTCTCTGTATACATGTTGTATTGGATGTACAATGCAGCTTGGTGCTGGGAAGTGGCAGCATGGTTACAAGCGTGATGTAGAGAGAGCTGGTTGGTGAGGATGCTCAGAGGAGGACAGCTTGTGGGTCGCCATGCTTGCCGGCGGGAGCGAGGACCGCCAGGCAGGAGTAGGAGTAGGAGGAGGTGGTGGTGTAGCTTGCTGCTGCTATAGCTCGAAGAAGAGAGTTGGTTGGTGAGGATGCTCAGAGGAGGACAGCTTGTGGGTCGCCATGCTCGCTGGCGGGAGCGAGGACTGCCAGGCAGCGGCGGAGGAGGAGGTGTCGCTGGCTGGTTGGTGTAGGTAGAAAGAGGGTGGTCACCACGAGGTCAGGTCTTAAATAGCGGAGGTAGGCGTGGCTTAGTAGTTGACCTCCGTCATGTAAGGCGGCGCTGGTTGACCTAGACCACGAGGCATACACTGGGGAATTCGCGGGATTGGCTACTCAGCGACAAACAGCGTTTGTAGGGGAGAAAGCCACTACACACCCACCAGAATAATGTCAATATTAATCTTGGCGTATGACGAACTACAATGAAACAACCTACAAGCACATCTATTTATTCAACCAACTGGCATTCCCTAGCATACCTCGGGACTAGATGGGGAAGCACTTCACTCTTGAAGATCGTAACGAGGGACTGACCGTCTAGATATCTGAATGACCTTCTTATAAAACCCAATAATTTATTTGCCTGGTTTACCTTCTTCTCGCAATGGCCCGAGAACTTCAGTTCATTGTCAACATACACACCTAGGTCCTTCTCACATTCAGTCTCAAATTATGCAGTTTCTTCATCCCGTTGGGACATATGATACGCCTCCTTACCGTTGGTACGCCCCAGGTGTGTAGTTGTGTAGGCAAAGTAAGAGAATCAATTGAGACCCTGTAATTTTGTGTAAATGAGGTGGAAAGTCAGTCAGATTAGGAACTTGGGACTTGGTCACAATTTTTTTGATGCCATATGGCAACAGGGTCTACCATCAGACAACACATTATTCTTCCAATATCTTCCCAGGCGGTAGTACCTCCCTGTAGAATCTGGGAGCCATAGCAAATCTAATTAAGCAGAAACATATGAAGGTGATAAGGACTAATAGTAATAATTTGACTACAGTACTGTAAGTGTATAGTATTTTTAATACAGTATACAACTTATCTTTGTACAGTACATATACAGGTATGCATTTTTAGAGTTGGGAAGGGTAGATTCATGTCAATAAAACCTGGGGAAACTCAGTACAATATCATATTCGTTCTTATTATTTATTACGTATATTTATTTAAATTCATTCTTTTTTATTATTATATTTTACACTATTATTTTTATTATTTATTTCAATGTGTAATAATTTTATTTTATAAATTACTGTACCCTATACTGAGTATGGAACTACAATATGTTTGTAACTCAGAACTATCTATTTATTTTGTTAGTATATTTGTGTGATACATTGTGGTATAACAGTACTGTACTGTGTTATTGCCTCCAAAACATATGCATAAATTGTCATATTCAATACAGTTCTGTAATAATAAAGAACCTATTTATATTTTTGTAATAACAAAATGTCTTAATTTTCAGTTGTATAAAATTCTGTAATGATGTGTGCTCTTCAGGTTCAAGACACTTTAGAGGACGGTGTGGGAGTAGTGGAACCTGTGTCCTCGGGCAACACCAAACTTACCTCTCAAATTCGTCAGTTGTGTGAAGGATCAACGAGTGCTCCTTCACAAGAACTTGCAGATCTACTTCATCGGCCTCACCTGCTGGTATGGCCTCTGGCGTGTGCTCAGTCTGGCGTTATGTAAGCCCGCGGACCATCACATGTTGTCTGTAGCCCATGTTGAGTACTGTTGTGTTTCATTTTGAGTACTTCTGAGTTATTGGACTTTATGTGTCTGCATGGCCAAATGATCTTAACCTCTGTCATGAAAGGTGTCTCGTTTAAGTGACGAAGAATAGACTTCTTGTAAGATGAAATCTTAAATTCTTATGAGTTGATCAAAAAGTTCATATTTTGTAAGTGAAAGACTGTATATATCTAAATTACCGGTATTTATTTATACAGTTCTGTATTTTTTTTTTTAATTTCCTTGAATTGAAATACACATGGAGTGCTCCAGAGCTTGTATGCTACTGTATTCTTAAAAGAACATTCGCAGGAGAACATGTGTTGGTCATCAGTAAAGCTCCATTCTCAATGTTTTTCGAGTGGGCAGAGAACAAGCAAAAATCACGGGGGACAAGGTCTTGTGACTAGGGCAGGTATTCAAGCAGTTCACCTGTGGTTGGGTGGGTTGTTTTGGTGAAATGGTACACCATGTCACTACAGGTACTTTCCACTTTTTCCTGGATTGCCTAATGCAGTTTTCCTTTTAAATTTGCACAATACCTGTCCACTGAAGTAGAGTTGCCATTAACTCCGTTCTCTAGGTAAGGAGCAAGCACAACTCCTTCAGCATTTTTGGTAATGGATGACAATGACTCACCCATTTTTTATACATTCGGTGTAGCAAGTCCAAAGAGGAATCCTCAACACCGAGTTACTCTTATGTAACCCGACAAATGAATTTGTCAAACTCAAATAACAGCATTGATGAATCCATTTCTCAGGTCGCTTTAAACTAACCCGATGTTCGGGATTCCTCTTCGGACTTAATGTCTCAGATGTTTAAAAAAAATGGCCGTTTGCCTGCTAAGGGAACAACATGAAATTTCCTGGGAGGCAAAGATAGTTTGAGTGTCATTTCATTGGGGTTATAACCAGGATGAGAAGATCATTTGACTTTTATGGAACAATTTCAGAAGTGCTGTTGATGTTCTTAGTTGTTTTCTTTGTACACCATTCAACAGCAGTGGAATGAGCAGCAGCAGTGTCCCTTAATATCTGTTGCTTAAAGGTCATCTCTATGCACTATCTGTGGAGAAATGCCCTTTGACTTGATGCACACTACCGTATTTGATAACAGCTCGTATAGTACATCTGTTTTTTTATTTTGTGGTTTTCTGTCATCATGCTTCAACCACATGTCTGTAAAAAAAAGAGTTAGGTAAATGGTAACATATGAAATACATTGTCAGAAAGAGTGACATGAAAGGCAAACAATATTTAAACCCGATATTTAAATTTTATTCATAACAAAATACGAACCTTTTGATTAATCCACATGTTTGGTCTTTTTCTCCAATATCTTCTTTGTTTTTCACTGCTAAAGGAATGCTCCTATTACATATTTTAATATTTTTTTATATCCTCTGCAGATTAATTAGCATCCTCTTCTTTGAAAAAGCCTCATTTTACAGTACAGGTACTGTACTGTACAGTACAGTACAGTACAGTACAGTACAGTACTTTATTTTACTATAACCTCGTATGAATCCTAAATGCCCCTTTCATACATATCCATTAATTTCATATTTCTGTGCATTAATTGCTATTGAGTTTTGCATGTACTATATTTGCATGTATTACAACTATGCACCTTATACTGAAATATGAATGCCTTCATCTAAAAAGTGCATTACTGTATTCCCATTCCTCAATTATCCTGTACCTGGACATCAAGAATGGCCTCTTTGAGCAGTCATTTCAGGCAGAAATTGCCATTGTTATGAATTTTATTTTTCTCTTGTGTTTCAAGTACCTAACATATTAGCTGCTTATATTATGATTACAGTATTATTTTATGAAGGAGCTGTCCAGTTTGCTTAAACCAGTAAAAAAAGTTATTTTTTAGAACAGTTTTACAGGTCCGGAGAACCAATCCCACATAACATGATACAGTGTGTCAAGAAACCCTACTCACATACTGTACATACTTCATTTCTTTGCTCTACCACTTCAGAGGTATACTGTAGATCCATATCCTAAAGCACAGGATAAAAAAGAAAAAAATGGAAGATGCCATTGGTGGGGTGAAGACAAAGTACTGTATACCCTCACCTCCCTATCGTGTCTATTTCTACACATCTTTCAAATGCACGGTAATCATTCTCTCCAATTCCTTCACAGATACAGTTACCAGTACTGTATTGCAGAGAAGGTATTCATCTTCCCAAATTAAACAATATATTTTGGTGTACTGTCTTCGCATGACTTTTGGAGTGTACTGCATTTTACAATGCCTGATCTTTCTTTAACAATCTAATGTCTCAATATATTTTTTTGCAAATTTGTTATTTACATATAATGAAGGAACCAGTGAAGCTTAAGAGGTAGTATTATCGTAAACCACAGTTGGTCACTTTGACACTCACTCAAAAAAAATCTTGAGTCTGAGACTATTTTGTGATGAATAGTTTTGCTTTGAGGTAATGTAGTACCTGTACAATACAGCTCAGTACTGTATAGGTAACTCAAATTTATTAACACATATATGTGATTTTGGTTATTTAGCCGCCACTAGCGATTTCAGTGATATTCTCTAGAACGGGGATGTCAAACTCATGGCCTGCGGGCCAATTGTGGCCCTTGGAATGGTCAGGTGTGGCTCGCAGGATGACGGTAAAATTTATCAGCCCGTGAAATTTGATAGAAATAAATATGAAGGAAAAAATTCAGATATGATTGAGTCAGTAAATTCCGAAATGATCTTTGCATCATTGTGGCAATAATTGAATTTATATTGAGCTCTTAAGTTTCAATACACAAATGGAATTCTATAACAAGTTGTAGCCGCAAAATAATGCATATACTGTAGTACAGTATATGCCTTTTGCTATCCTATTACAGTATTAGTGTTAATCATGGTTATTAAGCAAAAAAATTTGCATACTTAAGTTCAGACAAACCCAAATGAGTTATTCTTGGTAAGCCAGGTAAGGCAATGTGTGAAGCTGAAAACTTCAATCTTGCAAGTATGTGATATAGCACTTGTGTTGGCCCTGAGGAGGGTAAATAAAATAAGTATTGGCCCTCGAAAGGTTTTGAGTTTGACACCACTGCTCTAGAAGTATAAAAAAGCTACAATACCAAAATATGTAAGTGTTAATCTAACCTTTCTTATTACTTTTCTAGTTGGGAAAGACCATGAAGTTTTGAAATCTGAAAATACAAAAGCTCATAAATGTGATTTTCTTTTTTCTTTTTTTTTTCTCAGAAAAAATGTGAATTACAGTACTGTACTGTATTTTATTTATATATTATTATTATTATTATTATTATTATTATTATTTTCTCATGTCCAATAATTTTGCATGCATAGATTCGAAATCAGTATGCTCAGGAGTGCCTACTAAGATTTTGAACAAAATCTCAGAGGTCGAGATTTTGGCCAAATCGGTAAGCCAATTATATTTTTCTCTCAGAATTGGAATATAAGGGGTTTAAGTATGCAAATCAGAATGATAGGGGCTTAAGCCTTTCCAAATTTGGGAGGATTCCAAAATAAACAGAAATTTGCAATTATAGTACTGTACAGTATGTCCAAATCCACAAACTACAGTAAATATCTGAAAATACCGTACAGTGAATAAATAAATGAGTAACATATATCTTGAGGAATATTTGAAGACAAGTGTTTACACAATTAACCACAAGAGTGCAGTGTTAGTAGGAATTCAACCCACAGTACAGTACCTGTACTTGGATTGGGAGTCACCAACTTTATGTGCTCATAAATCTTTCTGCAAGTACAGTACTGGGTAAATCTTTCATGAATTAGGGTGCCAGATTTTTTAATCTAAATCCAATTACTGTATACACTAATTATATTGAATTAAATGCATTACAAATACTTTACTGTATGTTATAAATGTAATTAAATATCACCTATTAAGCTGAGAAGTGGTGAAGAAGATAAAGTACTATGTACAATGCAGTACAGTATTATTGATTCCTCATCATCACTGTTTTATGGCCATTTTCCATGCTTGCTTAGGTTAGCCATGAATACCTGGTGGTTTAGTGTTCTGTCCTGCCAAAATGTTTAGGAGTTACATGTATTCAGAAATCAGGAATGCCAAATTGTGGAGGAGTTAATATGTTGAGATGTTAGATTGGTTCTATTATTAGCATAGTGTACTATTGTGTGATGCATGTTGTGAGTTATCTCTTGAATGTGGCCTGATGCATAGAGTACCTTAACTACATAAATCAAGTCTTCATAGAGTTGCTTGAGTGGGTACATGGGCTTTGTGATTGGTAACGCAGGCTTGCTAATGCCTCCAGCATTTGCTGATATAATTTGTATTTTGTATAGTTAACTGACACAAGAACTTTCCAAGTACAGTACTGAATGTAGATCTAACCTTGCAGTATAGTTGTTATTATTTCTATGACTAGAATATAAGTTGGATATACAGTTCATGAAACATTTGTGATAGAAATAATATAAGAAACTGTATTTAATTTTTATTTGTAAAGAAAACATAGAGGTCTGTATTTAAAGTATTTTGGTTAATATCCTATGTTTACCATGCTTCTAGAGGTTCCAGTTGGTACCTTGTACTTTATCCCTTATGCAGTACTCCCATTAATTTTTCATTATATTTTCTTTTATTACATTTTATGTGGCCAGTACCTGTAATTCAATATCTATTACTTGTATACCATGTTTTATTCATTTTCATTGACAACAATTGATATTTGACCAATTACAGTATGTATAGAACACAGTAAGTAAACCTTCTTTTTTAAGCACACCCTCAACTACAGTAGTTCTTCATGGAATCTCCACCGTGGACTTTCATTAAGGACGGTGTCCTTAGCTCAGTAACGTATGTATCTTTATGGATATTAATGGTGGAGTTGCTTTTTCAATTACTTACACTTAAACCTATACATCATTTACTCTTCTGGTTGGAATTACAACACATCCTTTTGGTTTTCCTCGTTTTAGTCATGATGGTTTCATTCTTCCTCTCCTGTATAACATGATTTTCTTTCAATGTATTCTCTATTGTGTCTTGGGAAGTATGTCATCTCTTTTATGTGTTATAATATGTACAACTCTTGAAAAAGAAGGTACAGATATGTTATACAGTATTTGATTTATGATATCTCTTTTCTCCTTCCAATCAAGATGTCATATTTTAATGTGGACGAGGGAAAGTATAAACCTGTCTGCATTGTTTCATTTTTATTTCCCATATACATTTTACCTGTACAATACAAGATTGGGAAGTAATTTTTCCATGTACACTGTAATCACACCGCTTTTCACCAAACTTGGTCTAGTGGTGCAAAAGATTTTGTATACCTGTATCATCAGAAAGAATGGTCATTGACTGCGCTGCCTCCTCCACCTCGTCATCATTGGCAAATCAATGGCCTGTCAGAGCTTCTGTTAATGGCCCAATTCAGTGATAATCAACTGCTGTGTATATTTATCAGCTAATCACTGATTTGTGAACCTCTTTGAAGGAGGAGACATCGTGTGTTTCTACTGTATGCTCTGCCATTTGCCTTTAGGTTTGAAATGGTAACTTACTTCAAGGTGTCTTAGAACTTGTATGAGCATTACCCTCCTGTCATTTAGAACTATTGTATGTGCTTGTTCAATTTGAATGCCATTGATCAATGTGGACGACATCCCTGAATGATTTATATCAACAAATATGTTATCCAAATCTTTTAACATTTTGATTCATTTGTACATGCTCCACTGTGGCAAAACTTGAGCATCATACTGTACAGATACTCTATGAATGTCAGCGCATTTTATGCCCGAAGCCTGCAAAAAAAAAAAAAGTGACAGCATGCTGCTCTTTTTTAGTCCAAAACAAAAGTGGTGTAGCTATGATTAAAGCACAACTGGACAATAGCATGTAAGGGTATGAATACCACAAAGTGGTTATCTGTACACTCAGTGCAGTCAGCAGTGTAGACAATTCTGAAAAAAAGACAGACAAATTGCTGATACTTCTGACTTACCCTCTAAGTTTTGTATCAGGTTGATTCTCAGCCCTTCTTTCTCTCAGGATTTCAGCTTGATGAAAAGTAATGTATCATTCTTCCTTTTTAGTGAGAAGTGTATCCTTCTCAGTAGAGTGAGATAAACTTTCTCCCTACAAAGTTTCTTTATTTTTTTCTCTTTAATTTATCCTTTTTACTGATCGTCAGTTACCTGTACTAGGTGGTTGGGCAGTCGGTCTGTTCTCTGTTATACTCATCTGTTCCTTTCACTCGTTTTCTTCTTGTTAAGAGTCAAAGCTTTAATTAGATGTTCTCAATCCTACACATCCATCTCTGTTTTTGAGAAGATTTTATCAGCCAATCCATTTTCTCATTCATATTCCTGATATTCTAAAACTTTCTGCATACAGTAACTGAATTTTTCTCCATGAAACTTTAAAGTTTAATTCCCCAATAAAATTTACCCTACTGGTACAGTATTTTGCAGTTAAATGATTTCTTTATTCTGCTATTCATTCTGTAGAAGTACAGTACAAAATTTTCCTGAAATTCATTTATTATTTTCTTTAATACAGTACATCCAGTAGAATAAATAATTCTTCTTTTGCTGTGGCAATTTTTTAGTTATTAATATTTTTATTAATTTTCACATCAGTTTACTAACTTTTTATTAATATTTTAATTGTCAATACAATATTTACAAATATCTTTCCAAACTGTTAATGTTTATCTTTATTAATGAATTATATCCATTACCTCTTTTACATGGCACAGTAGATTGCACACACGCACACACATTCTTCCTTACACTTCTCACGACTCGCCTTGTCAGCATTTCTCAAGTTTTCTACTACCGTAGTAATCACTCAACATTTCTTCCATTGTTTACTTCTATTACTGTAGTTCATGGTAAATTGTTTTTACTTTGAGTATCTTGTCAATTAATTTGTTATGGTTTTTCAGGCACTTTTAGAAACCCATGACACCATAGCAGATCGGCGACACACAGGGGACGCAAGCACATCAAGCAACGGTTACAACTCTGTAAACGGCTGCCACGAGAACGTCACATTCATGCCAGAGGAAAATGGGTATCCGGTGGACGCCATTAGAATGGTGGGCCTCCGAAAAAGACCAGATGAACCCTTGGGGCTGACAGTGCGAGAGGATGAAAATGGTTACATGGTCATTGCCAGAATAATGGCAGGTGGCACCATTGACAGACAAGGTCTCCTACATGTTGGTGATGCCATTTGTGAAGTCAATGGAGTTAAGGTAAGTTATGGAAACCTATTTAATTCTTTTGCAATGTTTTTTGTAGAAACAAGTGTTGTACCTGTACAGTATAAGTTATTTGCTATGATTCAAAAAAGGAAAAAGGGTCAAAATAAATTAGTGAAGGTATTAGATAAGGTAGTTTAGGAATTTCTGAAAATAGCTGAATTATGTCAAATTACAATTTATGGAAATATGAACGACAGTATGGAATTTCAGAATCAAGCCCTTAATTTTTCAAACTGTATCGTACTTATAAAACTCAGAATCATATTTCCTTTTTCCGTTTCCAAGGTGGCAAATCTTCAGGGACTGCATGAGGAAGTGGCTAAGTGCCGTGACTCGGTGACACTGAAGGTGATACCTGCCCTCCATGATCCACCAACCAGCAACCAGGTAACCAGCAGCCTCCACCCAGATTCTGCCAAGACTGTTGTAAGTGTTGTTATATTGTTTTGTTCAGACCAGTAAATGCCTGCTTCAAGCCAACTAACAGCTGGAGCTTCTGATGGTCTGGTGGTGGTGGGGGCAATGCTGAAATGTGCATACTATAATATGTAAGATGATATGAACAGTTTTTTGAGTGATTTATTTTTTATTATGACTATACACACACACACTATATATATATATATATATATATATATATATATATATATATATATATATATATATATATATATATATATATATATATATATATATATATATATATATATATATATATTATATATATATATATATATATATATATATATATATATATATATATATATATATATATATATATATATATATATATATATATATATATATATATATATACATGCATGCTTAAGAGTTTAGAGCTTTGTTTTCTTAATGGCTGACTAGATTCAATGTTTCTTAATAGGACTTTACATTTTCAAAGAAGCTTTTGGCAGTACAAGTACAGTCCTGTACTGTACTGTACAGTAGTTGAATAGTATATTATTAGATAGTTTTCCCTGTGTGAAGCCAATTCATTTTATTGCTTCACAAAGGAGTTGTAGGTGATAGTGTTTTGCGCATTATTGTGAACATTCAATACCAAAGATTTACATGTATTTCAATAAATTTTTTGAAAGACAGTAGATTAAAATTAAGTGTAGTATTGGTATGTAATATATATTACCAATATCTAGTGTGACTTCTTTAGATCACAAATTTTCAACCATAATTGTCAGTTATTGGCAATTGGTTATTTAAAGCTGATTAAGTAAAGAGTAATTTTAACACAGGAAATTGAGATTACATTGCTCATCAAAAACATAGTAAAATATTTTTTTGTCACTAATATCTTGCATGTGTTTGATAATTGCAATACAGTATTCCCTCAGTGTTGTGGCCCACATTTTATTGATGCCAATACTGTACAATATTGTACATTACAGTACAGGTAATTGTTTTCAATTCATTACCTTAAGGTTCAATATATAATTCTTGCTATTAAATATCCAATTTTCTGTAATTATTTTGGCATCTTCAGTTGGTCTTCCTTGTTCATTTACATAAAAAATGAAGTGAATATTGTTTCTCAAATTGGAGGGGAGCACCATAGCAGACACATTTGTTTCAGTAGTTAAAAATAACAAAAAGGAGAAAGGAGAGCCTCTGTTTGCAGTTGCAGTGGTCATGCACTTACATTCTTTTGCTAAGATGAACATTAAACTTTGTGTTGCACTCTTTTAAAAGGAAAATTTAATATATCATTTCAATATCATTTGTATTCTTCCTTGTAAATTTTAGATTTAATATGCAATGGATCAGTCTAAAGAAAAAAGTTCTTTATAATTTTTTTATGTCTGTGCTTTTGCATTGCATTGCAAATTATTCTTCATAGTCACTGTGAGGATTGTATGCCAAAGTCTTTCTGGTCATTTGGAATAAATTAATTTCTTTTGCATGTTCTGTATTTGCTTAATTCCCATTTCTTTGATGACTAAAATATGGCATGCAAGAAGCATGAACTGTAAGTTTTGAAGGAAAAAGTATGTGTAAAATTTCTTGACAAATTTGGCTCGTAGTTTACACACTTGGTGAATTAATGTGTTTTTGTAATTTTGCTAGTTATGCTGAACAGTCGGCAGTCACTATTGGCACAGTGCAATATTTTGTGAAGTTGAATCTTTCCCTTAGCTTAGTTAGTGTACAGTACAGTATTCTTAATCTAATAATGTTATTGCACTAAGCTGTTGTAGTATTATAATTTCACTTTTCGAAAATAAGCTGTATATTTTGTATATTTTTTATGACTGGATCTTTGTAACTGGTAATAATGAATACATTTCTTCAGTGTTACATGAGAGCGTTCTACTCCTATGACCCTGCTGAAGACACACTCCTCCCTACCTGCCCATCACAAACTCCACAAGACATTGGCCTCAAATTTGAAAAAGGAGACATATTACAGGTAACCCCTTTCACTATATGTATTTTATTAAATAATCTGTTAGATAGAGGAGTTCTCTGTATGTTTATTAAGTGTTAGAAAATTATGTACAAATGCAGATGCAAAGTTAGGTTCTCATTTACAGTTTGGTGGAATGTGGGGGGAGGGGGTGGGGGGATCCCTTACTTGAACCAATGATATTTAGGAGGGCAACTTGGGTAAATGTTACACATATATAAATTCTCATGTGGTGACTATATCATAAAGTTATTATTTGAAGTTTGATATGAATAGAATGTATCTACAGTGGTGTAGCCAGGTTCTAACGTCAGGGGGAGCGAGCACATAAAAATACCTGCCACCACGCATACCAAATAAAATAATTTTAAATTTATTATACATGTTATTTTGTATTTAAAATCAAAACACAAGAAAGATACAGTTTTATGGTAAGTACATGTTATTTACTTATTTTATATTTAAAGATTAAAATCCAGACACAACAAAGCAAAATAAATAATATAGTGCATGAAGCGACTACAACAGCCTCTTTCATCTAGGCTTCATTCTAGCAGAGTTATCTATTATTTTATTATAATCTATTATAAGCTAACCAGACAATCTTCCCCACCTATTGTAGAATGCAGGTAGGACTTTATGAGTTTGAGTCGGCTAAAGGTTCATTCTTCAACTGCGCTACTTATTGGCAAGGTCAGAAAAATGTGGTACAATGTCAACAGGTTAGGATAAATGGAACACATGTCATTGGCAATCATGAATTATAATACACTGTTGTAGGTCATTTTCTCTCAATATTTGAATTTGCCTTATTGCTAGTGCTCATTATCTCTTTGTTCATGTCTTTAAATGAAAGAAACTCTTGCATGATTTTGTTTTGACTGTCGACGACGTCTGAGTACATGTCTGCCAAAATTTTTAATTTGTTCACATTATCTGCATTGTCAAAATGCTTTGGATCTAAACCACTGAAATTGGAAGCCATATTTATAAAATTATTAAATCTTTTACTGGCTATTTATAGTGGAATGTAGGGACACTAAGTAGGATTCAACTATGAATTTCTTCTGGGCATCAAATATTCATTCATCGTCTGGAATTTCTTCATGGTATCATTTTCTTTTACATACTCTGTGCTGCTTATATTCCACAGTAATTTCACATTTTCAAGCCAACCCAATTGCTTCGTTCTCATTCTCTTTGGATTCAGATTAAAAATAAGTTTGCACGTTTTTCATATTTTAAAAAAGCTGAATCAAGTAAGAAGCCGTAACCAGATCTACACTATTTTCCTGTAAATATGTGGATAAATTGGAAGCCTTTTCTACCAGTTTATTCCAGAATATAAGAACCAAGAATTCATATGTATTGAGTGTTCTAGAATAACCTTTGCCTCGGCAAGCTGTTTGGAGTACGTACAATTTTTCATCTCGCCATCCAAAATTCTTTTCAGGTCAATTACTAGTGGTAAATTCTGTAAGCCTGCCTCTACTGCTGACTTTCTTGATGGCCATCTGGTATTACAAAGTTTCTTTATAGTCACCGCGAAAGATTTTATTGATTGCGTTGTTCTTCTTGTAGTACTCAAAGATGAGGTAAAATGCCAGAAAGAAAAAGTAAGAAAAGGTATAGAGACCCTCTAGAGTTTCCCAAAAACAACTGAGTTTGAATATTGGAGCTTACTGCAACAATAAGAATTAAATTTAAATTATTTGCACATCAGTGTGTAAAGAGTGCATTTGGAGCAATTTACCTAATTCTTGTTTGGAGACCTGATATTTCACCTGACATGGTGCTTACTTCATCGTAAAACTGACCGTAACACATAGTTATTGATAGTCCCAAGTTTTTGATTGCTGAAAGAAGAATGTTGGAAAAATCCTTAGCTTTTTTCTTTTTTTTTAACAGGGATTAGCCCACCTGGGCACGGGTCACTGAGCCACATCGGAGCCGGGGGGGTGGGGAATATAATAATAATAATAATAATAATAATAATAATAATAATAATAATAATAATAATAATAATAATAATAATAATAATACAGTAATAATAATAATAATAATAATAATAATACAGTAATAATAATACAGTAATAATAATAATAATAATAATAATAATAATAATAAGAAAGAGCCATAAATAAATACGAAAATTAAAAAAAATCAAGAGTAAGAAACAATGTACTGTATACTGTATGTATGTTGTGTTGTCAAAGTAAGAGAACCAATTGAGACCCTGCAATTGTGTGTAAATGTGGCAAAAAGGCAGATCAGCAACCTGGGACTTGGTCATAATTTTTGTGATGCCATATGGCAGCTTGGTCTACCATTAGACAATACATTATGCTTCCAGTATCTTCCCAGGCGGTAGTATCTCCCTGATTGATAGCTGCCTACTACCTACTACCAGGTAATTCGCTGAATTGTATAAATCATTTTGCTGCATCACCGTTTACTATTACATATTGCAAAGATAAAGAAAATTTATCAGTTCTGCTGATATCAAAGGTAGAGTCAACAAGTACTGCAAATTACTTAGCCACTTTGATTTCAGGTACTATTTTTTATAGAAGCTGTGCTGATTAGGATTGTATTAGATTATTTTGTAGGTCAGGGCCGAGACATGTTGCATTTTGATCACTCGGTAATAAATGATGCTTCAGTAATGTATCATTTTTAGCAAACCGCTTAATAAGTTCCAAAAAATTGCTGTCACCGTGAGGATGACAGTGGAATGCCAATCCCTATTTCCCCCAAAAGTTAACTGCATCTGTATTACGTGTTAGAATCATCCTATTTTTTTAAATCCCTTTCCTTTCCTCTGTTACAAGACCAGACAAGACAGTTCTATCATTGAACAAACGGAATTTGGTAAGGAAAAGTTCTTTTTCTGCTTTATTGTAGTGTGACTCGCTTTTTTCTTGTTTTTCAATTTTGTGCGTACCTTTAGCAAAAATCTTGCAAAATTTTTTTGGATCACTCCAAGCATCCCTCTGATTTCCAAAAAGCCAACAAGCAAAACCCATAATTACATATTACATGGTTACACCCAGTGCTTTTTAATACAGTAAGTTACTTGATTATTACAGTAGTGTAGTTACTAATCACTTCTTGTAGTCTAAAATCTGAGTATTTAATAAAAATACTGTACTGTACTGTACTTACCCCCCATGTGTGCGCTACTGAGTATCTATTATGGTATGTACAGTATTTACATTATACTATAGTACATCATAATTAATATAATAGTCAAAATAAAATAATAATATGTAACATCATAATTTTAACAACCATCATGACAGCTTATTACCTTTATTTTTTTTTTTAAAGTGCCGCCTTTGGAGAATGTGCTCAGGGGAAGCAACCTCTCCCCCTGCTCCTTCCCTAGCTATGCCACTGTGTATCTACAAATATTTACCATACAGATAACCTTCATTATCATAAAGAAAGCATAATTATCGTTTGATTTTCAAATGATTATGTATGGTGAAACAAATGGAAGGACAGACTGTTGTGTTTTGTGCACTTGAGGTTATGGAATTTCTAATTATAAAGGTTTGTTCTTCTCTTCTTTTGCTTTTAAAGATGTGTGTGTCCGGCTGGGTAAAGTGTAAATTATTAATATGAAAGGTGATACTGTACTGTATTAGTAATCTATATATATTATGCCTTCAGGTGTATTTGAATGATACTGTACTACTGTGCTCTATTTGCAGATTGTAGATCAGTCAGACCCCAATTGGTGGCAAGCTCAAGTGGTGGGATCTGGCACTAAAAGAACAGGCCTCATTCCCTCCCAAGAATTAGAGGAACGGCGCAAAGCCTTTGTTAGACAAGAGTATGATTACGTTCACAAGATTGGTATTTGTGGTACAAGGGTAAGTACTCTTGAGAATTTCTTAATTGCTGTTGTTTTGACATGATGATGATAAGTGTATTTTCATATTTTATACATGTTGGCCTCATGTACACCAAGGGCAGTGGACCTAGAATTGGCTGATATAAGCAAAACTGGATAAAACAAAGATACTTGTAGGTTTTCATACTAAATGGGGGTTACATTCACAGCCACAGCAAAAGTTTCCTTGTGATGAGTCTGAACTGCACTATTATTAAATTTACATGCATTTACTTACACACTGTCAGACAGAAAGTCAAATACACCTGCCTATCCAGTTCTTGTTATGTTGGTATAAACCAAAGCAGCTTATAGTACAGTACATTGAATACTTTACAGCAATACAGTACAGTACTAGCATTATAAGGCAGTGTACTATATTTCAGTAAAAGGCTGTTGTTTCATTGACTTGTTTTATCTTTATGAAAAAATGTAGTATTGAAGTCTTAAGTGATTTTTCTCCCAACAGATATCAAAACGTAAAAAGAAACTAATGTTTTCCACAAAGAAAAGTACAGAGTATGATCAAGCAGAGTTGATACTGTACGAGGAGGTGGCCCGGATGCCACCCTTTATGCGCAAGACTGTTGTGCTTATTGGTTCTCATGGTGTTGGCAGAAGAACTATCAAAAATCGAATTATTGCTTCAGACCCATCAAAATTTGGCACCACATTACCTCGTAAGTATTCTTTAATACATGGTTTACTTTGTTATTTATATAGGAAATAATCACCAGCTTAATAGCTATTCACCACTAAACTGAGTGTTTACACTCCTGAAACATCATACTCACTGATTGATGCTTACCTTACATACAGCATGTTAGTTTTCCAGTTTGGCAGTCCTTTTAATATTTATAGATTTCTACTGTAAAAACAAAGCTTTAAACTATTATCTTCAATTAACTTAACTGCTCTTGATATCTGATGATAAACAATAACAAACAAACAAAGGATAGGACTGTCCTCCTTGTTTCATAACTAAAACATGCCTTTTTTTATTAAATTGTTAAAGTTTAAGGAGTATACAGTATAATAAGCTTTTGAACATATCATGAGTTGAAGCTACTATATACCTACCTGTACAGTATTGTACTGTACATTAAAATGAGTCATTCAGTATTATAGGTAACTACTTTACTGTATTTACAACTACAGTATAAACTACAAACATTTGTGAAATGACTGGAGGCTCACTGAGCAGATCAAGATTTGTACAGTTACAAAACCATGAGTATACAGTATATTGAAGTTATCAACCAGCTTGATTAAATATAAATTATTTTCCAATAACTGGATGAAGATGTAGATACTGTGCTAAAACTTGACACCTTCATCCATATCTTGTATACAGAAATATAACCAGTGTAGTCTGGTATGTTGTCACTCATTGCTGTATTTCATATCTAATGTTTTTCAAATGTGTTTTCATTTCAAATTACACCTGAAACTTCATTGAATAATGACAATGATTAGTCGCCAACAGGGTAATTTTGAATGTAGTGTATCGTGTACAGACACATCAAGAACCATGAGAGAGTTGGAGGAGGATGGAAAGGCTTACCACTTCACAACCCGGGAAGCAATGGAAGCAGATATCCGTCACCATCGTTACTTGGAGTATGGTGAACTTAATAACAACCTTTATGGCACCAAGTTGGATTCAATTCTATCAGTTATCAGATCAGGGAAGATGTGTGTACTGGACTGTTCCCCTGCTGTGAGTCAAATGGCCATTTAGCATAGCTTGATTATATTGTCATTATCATGTCTTTAAAATTACTTATCTAACACAAACGTGTACATATTTCAAACTTTTTATATCGTTATTATAAAGTCTCTCTTCACAATCACATTCTTAGGGACTCCAAACACATTATGACCATTTTTATTGCAGGACTTGGGAAGTATACTGTCATAATAATTTGTCTTTTTGCAGTCTTTGAAGTATCTGCGGAATTCAAGTGAAATGCTGCCTTATGTAATCTTTCTAGCGGCCCCGGGAATGGATCAAATCAAGAGCTTGTACAATATTGGCAGTTCTATGGGCTCCTCTAGCCGAAATCTTACTGTGAGTATTTTCTTCTGTGATGACCTGCATTATTTTGATATGATGAATTGTCTGTCTTTTTCATACACTATACAGAGATGCAGAGTTTATGTTGAAATTTTTAGTGCTTAGCATTTACAAACATTTTTTTTTAATATAATTCAAAAGCAACATTCTAGTCAACACATACGTAATTAAGCCAAAATATAAAATGACTACCGGGGTATATGGATATTCCAGTTTTCATACTTGTTAAAGGCTGAAGTGATTATAAGGGCTAGACTGTAGCTATTGTTATTATGAATATGATCGCAAATTATTACTGTAATTACTTCATTGCTATATCTTTATTCAGTTTTTACCTCCTTTTCTTTTTTCTCTCTCTCCATTAATTAGGTATAGACATTTGTAGGAGAAATTCATATCATAATAATATAGTATATACTGTACAGTATATTGACTATTTTAATGTGTTTGCAAAAATAGAATGTATATTATTTTCAGCTTTTTCAAATTTGTCAGCTTATGTATCATGGTTTTTGACAGTCCAGCAACATTGTTTTTGAGAAACATTTACATCACTTAAGTTTGCACAGTGAAGAAAATTATATACTGTATTAATTTTTTATTGAATTACGTAGTTGGAAATGGTGTGGTAGAATGCAATACTATTAATGTCCTTTAATTGACCCAAGTTCTTATAATGCTAGCTACAACATCACTACAGTACCTTCATTGTTGAAAACTCTTAAACTGCATGTGTTGCAGGATTTACTTTCATCCCATCATACAAATCTCGAGTCACTTCTAATTTTTATCAAATACATGTAATGCACTTCAGATAAACTGCTATATGAAGACCATGTAGTTAATTCTTGACAGTTACACTACCAGAGGAAGCTATAGACTTGTCAGTGGTTATGAAAAATGGTTGGGTAATAGAGACCTTTGGCTTTTAGATAATTTTTTATTGATTTATTACAGTACATAACTTGGTAGGACATCTCTTTTTTTACAATCATTGCTCTCTAAAGGGGAGATTAGAAGCCACTGTCTTCCTGGAAGGCTGAAATATGAGTGGATTACCACTGATCGGCTTGTTAGCCACTTGGGCGGTCGGTCACATCTCTGTTATGCACCGTTGGCAAGTACTGGCTCCTGAATGTACTGTATCTGTACTTGTGCTGGTGTTGGTCAAGTCTGGTCTTGAAAGAGCTCACACTCGGTGTGATTTTTTTCTGCTATTTTTTTGAGTAGTTGTGTTAAGCAGGAGTGCCCCGGCATAATACCATGTTGGCAGTCCTTTACAAGGTTTTCTTAGTAGATGTTCCATCGAGGCATTTCTTATAATGCTCTCTAGTAGTTTACACACTATGCTGGTCAGGCTCACTGGTCTATAATTATTTGTGGAGTGACGATCGCCCTGCTTGAATATAGGTCGCACATAAGCCATTTTCCGGTCACTGGGGACCTTTTTCTCCTTCAGGCATTTATAGAACAGAATCATAAGGGGGAGGCTCCGTAAGTTTATTGCACAACTCTCCTAACACTCTTCTGAGAACACAATGTGGGTTAGCACTGTGTCAGACTGTCTTTCCTCAAATGCAGGAAGATTGTTCACATCCTTTCTTGTGAACACCACTGCCAGCTGAAAAATAAAGGAAGTTTCAATCAACATAATAAAAATAACGTCCTTACTATATAAATATTGGAATTCCCATGTTGCCAAATGCGGCAAGGAAAGACACATGAGCAGGATGCTCAGCACCAAGACCTGCTCACCTCTCAACCCTTCTGAGAAACTTTCTTCTAATTTAAAATTTTATGGGCAACAGTTTCAGTTGTACAGATATACTAATTCTCTATGTTTAGGTTAAACTCTGGTTTGAAACATACAGCTAGAGGGAAGATGGTGTTCCCTAGTCTTCTACTTTACATCTGTGAAAGAATCAGTGTGTGTGTGTGTGTGTGTGTGTTTTGTCGACATTAAAACAAGAATTTATATAACAAATATGTAATCCCTGATATAATCATTTACTTACATTTTTCTCATTACAGTATTTGGTTAAAATCTAAAATGTATTCACAAAGTTGGTTGGTTTTTTCTTGTTCAATTGCAGTTAATGTTTAAGTTCAAATGAGTGACATGAAAATGGAGGTACAGTACTGTATTGTCATTAATAGATAATCTTTAGCCATTTTTTTTAATTCTCTCCTTTATTTTGCATCTTCCCATTTATGTTTTGCTAGAAATTACTATTAACTGTGTACTTGCCTGACCTGACCTGACCTGATCTCTCTACCTTATGCCTGTATTAATGTGCCTGTTGCTTGCTACCTTCCTGCATCCAGTTTGATCGCAACAGCTCGATGAGATACAGCTCCCGGCGTGCCAGGACATTAGAGTCCCTGGCTTCCTTGTATGAGGTAATATGATCAAATATAACTTGCTCTCTTAATTTTTTTTTAGAAATTAATTTTTAACAATGGTGCTTAATGTTAAATTAATTTATAATAGTAATATAAGTAATAACTGTCATATATTTAGTAATTTAACCCCCTTTACTATGGAGATGCCACTTTAAATATTGTATTTGGTTAATGGCAGACAATTTTATTCAGCATAGAGGGGAGCCCATACATTAGGGGCTAAAGAATATTTAAAATACAAAGTAGCTATGCAATTACTGAGAAAATACATCGTGGAATTGAAATATTATTAAACATATTCCTATATATTTTATGTAAAAAATACTGTACCCGTACATTGTACCCTGCTTATACTAATGAAAATTTTCACATCACAGGAGGATGATTTCAAGCGCACAATGGAAGAGAGTGCTAAACTACAGCGAGCTTATGATAAATATTTTGACTTGATCATAGAGAACAACGATCTTAATGACACTTACCATGAGATCATGGATGCCATCGACCGCCTGGCCACTGAGCCTCAGTGGGTTCCTGTTACTTGGGTGTACTAACATTTTGAAATGGTTACCTTAAACATTTGTTATATATATTTTATATTATTTCCACTGAAATCTAACTAATTATAAAAGTTTTTAAAAAATTTTATGTATGCAATGTCCAATAAATAGGAAGAATTTACCAAAGTGTAGTATCAGTTTATTTGCAGTGAATTTGTACATTTCCAATTATTAGATTCATTTAAGGTATCATCCTTATTACCAGTATCTGCTACTTTGGAGTATGTTGATCTCTCAGTTAGCACAGAAGTATAACGTCTGCATTACTTAAAGGAAATTAATGCATTGGAATTCTGAGTTGTTTAGCTCCTCCAATAGGTTTTCAGGTCTTCCATGATAATCAAAGCTGGGAAATATAATACTGTATGTGAAATAATAATATAAAAGCTGTGGCTATTAAGCTGTCACTGGTTGAATAGCCTGGTAGTCTACATTGCTGGGAAGACTACATAGACAGCCAGGTTATTCAGCCATGAACATATAATCATAATGACAACTATATAAATGTAACCATAGTAATTTTTTTTTAGTTGACGGTACAAGCCTTCCCCCCACCCCCCTTGCAACTCATTGGCTCATACATAATGTTTGATTAATATTGATATTTCACAACTAATTTCATATACTATAGTTGTTAAGGATAACCAGTTCTGGCACATTTTAATGGCAATTTTAATGTATGTAAAGATATATATTAACTTTCTAGATATGAGTGGAAAAAAGTTTAAAATAAAGAATATATACTGTAGAAGTTGCAAACAAATTCATGCTAGATATAAATTTTCTGTTTACCCCCGGTAATTTGCCGTGGGGCTCTGCCTTCTTAAGTTTGGTAAGGTTAGGTCATGTTAGGTCATTAGGTTTTGTGCATTTTCATTTTCTTGTTTAGTATCATGCAAATAACATCATCAAAAATTTTGGTGCAATTCTTTAAACTCCTTTGGGTGCCGAGTTTAATTTTGGGGTATTATCTAGTTACAGATATACAGTTGTTAATATGTTTATGGGTTCACAGCTAAATAGTCTGGTTGTCTATGTAGCAGTCCTGGCTGCATAGACTACCAAGCTATTCAACCAGTGACAGCTTAATAGCCACATTGTAATATAAAACACAAAGATCTAAGAGAAAAACAACAACTGAACTGCCAAAAAGTTAACTGAATTTGAGAAAGAAAACCACATACAGTAATACCCCGCTTTACGCGGTTTCGCATTTACGCGGTACCTCGCCAGAACCGGACTTTCACTTTACGCGGTGCATCTACTCATATACGCGGGAAGCGGTGCGGGCAGGATGCGCACAAAGTCGTCCAGTCATCAAAACATTACCGAGTTCTTCACCCGCCACCCACCACAGCCGGCCCAAGTCAGTGATAGTGAGGATATGGACTTATATGGACTTTGAGGGGTTTGACAAAGAGGCCCTGCAAGCCTATGTGGTGGATAGTGATACAATTGATACAGGTGAGGGCCAATAATCTGCCTCGGAACCAACCCCCCATCCCTGTGTGCCCAGCCATCTTTTCTACTAATGTAAGTGTTAAAAAAACTAATATTATTGATATTTCTCTTAATTATTAATTGTGTGTGCATACCATCATAAAATTAAGATGTAATTTTTACTACAACGTAGGTATTGTGTCTGAAAAAGTGGAGTTTGGGGGTCGGGCCAGTCTCTATTGGAATTAATCCCATATGTTCTGTTGTTCACTTTACGCGGTTTTCACTTTCCGCGGTACCCCATGGGTTCAATTGACCGCGTAAATCGGGGTACTACTGTATAGTATTCTATATTGTGCTCTTTATCTCCAATTACAGTACTGTACTTATGTCATTACTTATTGTTCAATAGGGATGTTTTTGGTTCCTAAATCTGAAAGTTTATGATCTTAGATGGATAATTCCCTTGCATAATTAGGACTGAACAGACTTTAGAAATGTAAAAAAAAAATGCTGAGAAGGGTTACAAAATCATGCATCTGGTTATTCTGAAAATCTACATTCGATTATTATATAATTAAGAATACTGTACAGTATAAATAATTTCCTTAGGTATGTGATTTTTAAGAATACTGTTTTCAAAGTTTCCTTGAACATCTAAGATATGTAAATATATAAGAAATGAAATGGAAACCGAAGTCCACATAATTTGCTCTCACCCCATCTCTCTTTCCACTAGAGCCTTAGTAAATTTCTTTTAAAATTCCCCCAAAATTTATACACCATGAAGAATAACCAGTATATCTCTCGTCTTAACTCCAGTGATACAGAAGTATTTGCTGGAAAAGTTTTCCTCATATACAAGTTTAAGTCATGGCTTGAAAACATGGTATTGGTATTTCATTGATAGTGCCTCTTTCACCTTGAGTGAGAATGGGTACCAACTTTCCAAAGGCAAACTACAGAGTATGAGTCACACTTGGTACAACAACAGTGTGTGGGCTCATACATTACACAGAAAAAAGAGAGAACAAGTAAATTGAGTGTATTTCAGTTCTAATGTACTGTCAAAATTTATGAGCCTTAATATCCTTGCCTGTGAAGACAGTTATAAATGCTATAACAGTATCTCTACTTCCACTGATTCATTAAAATTTTACACTTCCACAAAGGAGTGCATTTGAAAGACCTCTTACATTTAATTTCGATGTCAATGGCATGAAAATTAGCCTTCAAATTACTTTCATATAATATTTATGGTATGATTAATGATACTGTACAGTATACTTAATGCTACACAAATGCATACCATTATAAGACACCATTTCTAAGAATTATTTCATTGTATTTCAGCATTAAAATTTTAACTATTTTAGACTAATACTTGACTTCTCTGAGAAGAGAATAAATCCTTAAAATATTGGAACCCACAGATGGCTGATTACAAAATTGTTAAGCAACAAATTTATAATATGTTCAATCTTGGCAGTGCTCCAGTGATGAAACTCATGCTGACTTACTGTGCGCCAAAAAAAGGTCTGAGAAATTAATAAAACATACTCAACCCTCTGGTACACCCGGCCATGGTCAGAAATCTCAATCCTTCGCAGTCTTTTGACGCAGGTAGCATCAGTGACAGGAACTTTTTTTTTTTCCCCAATTTAGTAAATATTGGGTAGCAATCCAGACCCAAACTGTGCCCTTAGAGATGCATTTGCCAGCCTACAAAGCTAAATGAAGGAACTTAAGTGGTTAATAAGGCTGGTTCAGTGTTTCTGCTTATGGGAGGGTGATCTTAGTGAGATACGACTTAGCGAAGGGTCACGAGCACTTAGCAATGCAATCTGTGTCGAAAGACTACGAGAGGGTTAATAGTAAAACACATACACTATCCCCTCGTTAATTCGACAAAAAAGGGGGCTCTGGTTCACCCGAATTACCGAAAAATCGAATTAACCAAGTTTATAATATTTTCACAATATTCGACAATTTCCAAATTTTTTGTTCAATTATTCGTTCATTTTCTGTTCAGTTTTTGCACCTTATTTGGATCGTTCCAAAGATTTTTCCTTATTATTCCAACTAATAAACATACTTATTTACCATACCTTGGCTCCTAAATAAAATAATACTGTATACTGTACTGTACAGAGTATTTGTAATTACTGCGCAAATATAAATAAATATTTTTTAAATGTACATCCAGTAATAAATAAATGTAACACACTGTGAGGTGAGGTGATGAAGCACACTCAGGAACAGCACTATTATACCACTATCTTACGGAAACATTTAATTTCTACCTTAAAATTAATTGAAAATCATTCCTTAAATGGTACCAGAAACATTTTCTTCAACACTAATGTACAGTACATATATAAATCCATGGATAACACTAGTGTCCATCACGCATGCCACAAGGATACTAAACTATAGGGCTTTGTCACAACTTGTCAGACATTTGGGCAACCATGATGCAATAATAGTTTAGGTACGGTTTTATCATAAATTGCATTAATTTTACTTACTTAAATCTTGCATAATTTTTCAATTTATATTTCCATCAATGCAGTTAACATTAATCCCAAAAATGTACGAAAAACATTGGCTTTAAGGTGCTAACGTTTCAACTCATGAGGTGGCACCACCACATAACCTCACACTCACACTAGACACCAGCTGCTTCACGATAGCTTATGTGGCACTTGACTTATTAGGGACTTGCCACACCTTGCCATAAACAGATGTACAATGTTGTATCAGGAATTCTCCCCCACACATTCATCCTGTCACTACTGTGTATGTAACTTGCTGACATAATTCATGGCCCTTCAGGCACTTTTGCCCTTAAATGCACGAGTCAAAAGGACAAGCATGAACTTTGTATGCTTTCCTGTTAGGTGCTGTGAATGCTTTTGTGCTGCCCAATAACCTAGCCCTCTCACATGGCAAATCTGAAATCTGCTACTAAGATGATTCCCAGATAAATGATTTTTTCCCACATGGCCAATTATTGCTAAAAATCGTCCAAATATCATAAATTCTATTAGAAATACTGTGTTTATTATAATATAATTAAGTTCAATGAATTCAAAGAATATAATACAAATAACAAAATACCAATTATATTAAGAATGTTTTATTATGAAGATTACCGACTGTTTCCTCCCAAACTCATGACCTACTGGTAACCATTTCCACCTGTTTTAGCTTTGACGCTATTATGTGGTCACCAGACGTCAAATGACCTGATTACAGGTCACTTGAATATTAAGCTTGTCAACCTGAGTTTACTGACAGGATCTACAAATACTTTAATTTTTCATGAATATGAATGAATACAGGTGCAGGGTATAACATGAAATATTTGAATACAAATTAATAACATTTAATAATAACAAATAAAATTGGAAATCGTCCAAGTGGGATGGCAAAAACTGCACAGAAAAAATGATGGGAATTGTCCAAGTGGAATGACACCTAACCCAAGCCTGCTTAGGGAGCCCCAAGAGCACTGTTAAATTGACGAGACTGAAATTTCAAGCCCGTCACCACGACTTTTCTGAACCGTTTGGTTATTTCGGATTCATTCTGAATTCAAATCATTGAATTAATTTTTTAAAAAACATACGAATTAAGATGAAATCCAAATTATAGCAATCCGAATTAACGAGGGTACAG